CAAATATTAAATCAAGAAAACAAGGTTTAAATTAAGAAACAAGCACATGTGATTGAGAGTGAAGAAAATGGTTTTTGTTTGAAAATTTCGCAATGCATACTCACTGTGTAGCGGCGGCTTCCATTTAATTTTTGTTCTTATATTTGAAAATTTATCAGTCTTTATTTATAAAAAATGTGACATACAAAATATGTGAGCAGCTATTTATTGAGGAAGTAGGAAACTTTTAGTTTTTATTAATTATTGAGTACTTTTCTCTATACATAGTATACCTGGTTATATTTCAAGAAACCCAAAATTGTAATTCAATTACTTAATTAGTTCACATTACTTACATATTTCTTGCTGGACTTCTGGGGAACGTAACGGTACTATTCGAGTTAACGTAGTAATAAGGATGTCTCCTGCATGGATACTCTACAGGCATTGGAGGCTCTATAGTTCTATGTAAGTTTGGTATCGAAGGCGTTCTATTTCCCTTCCTCAGCTCGTCGATTTGTTTCCTTCTCCAATGGTACCTTACTCTAAAACAAACACGTTTTTATCAATTTGCTATGACTTTTTCATGTTGGTTTCAAAAATCTTATACAGCTTTTGTTTGGCCATTCACCTTCTGTCCAGAATCAATAACCTTTTGCGGGGATTGAAATGTGGAAAAGTTGCGTTTTACTCACCTATATATAAATAAAAAAATACAGCCAGTTCCCGTTAAATTTACAGAGGACAGTCCAAAGGCGTACAGTAGGAATGAGTATCCGTATCGGTATTCGAACAGTGGTGGCCTTATTTGGGACTGCGGCCTAAGTTTACTACCCACTTCTGCTTTGAACACAGATATATACACTATGAGACCTAGTAGCATTATCAACCCTGAAAAAATTTGAAAAGTTTATTAATAAAATTATATTGGGATAATAAGTTGTAAGTGGTCGTTTCWTTAATAAACCGYTGGATGGTTTTTCATTCACTCAATCTAAATCAACCTATATAAATAGCATTAAAGCGGAAATTTGCGTATTTAAAATACACCTAATTAGATTTTTTMATTTWTTTTTTKKKTAAATTAACCAACGGAAAATGCGTGTRATATATACCGAAGTTTGCCTYAGAATTTTATCAATTAGTTTATCYTTCGCGCTTTTAACTGCTTTCATTTCAATAATAGTAATAAAATTAAACTCACCTGTRAATATAAATAGTAAACCGGATATAAAAGTATATATTCCTCTATATCTAACGCATTGACCAAGCATGCAACACATAAARGCTGCAATCATGATYGATCCTGCCAGCAGAAAAAARATGGCAGCTTTTGAAACAACATCTGGAAAAGAAGAAATATTAAGATTTTAGAGTGTTACAAACTGAAAATATTCAAATACRGACTAAAAACAAATGSTTYGTTTGCTCCRACGGGGCTTAATGGGTGGTTGAATTTGATACACTGATTGTTTTACGGATGACAATTTATGTATATCGATGTACAAGGTGATTGAACAATAATGGRAAATACAGAAACTGGAGATACTACGCATCCGAAACTCGTGATTTCAGTTTGTCAAATTGTATTATTCTASAAATATCKTAGTTGGRAACTTGAGCAACGTGGAACTTGTATTCGTCACAAACACGTATTTTATTCTTAATCTAAAAAACSTAATGTTAAAAAAAAATTAGTTTAACCTAACCCAAATTAACCCAGATGTTTTCAAAATACTGTCAATCGAGCGAAAAACAATTYCGAATTTKAATACACTGTATTTTCGAAACTATCAACTTTACCCAATGACCACTAATTAAMGCGTAATATMTTCAGTATCAAGCTCTACAGATCTAGATCTCTACTTTGACGCTATYCTATCCTATATTGAATCCAGAAATTTGTCCTTGTGTTGAGACATTCGATGCATTGCTGAAAATTATAACGAAAAACATACAATAAACCTCATCGAGATTATTTATAAGCGGAAAAATTTATTACAAAAAAAATCTTTATTTTTGAACTGAATGTTATCAAATGAATGTAAAATATATTAAAATTTCGACCAACTTGTTATTTTTGTCAAATGTTAATATTTTTTGAAATCTCATAATATTAAACTATTCTGGGGTTTGAATTTCGAACGTAACTTAATCAAGAAAACATTTTTTCGTCATCAATTTTGTTTCAATGTTATCCAACCATTATACATATATGGATTGCATAAAATTAATAATTTAAATACTTTCATTAAATAGCAACTAAACTCATTCTGTAAAGGTACACAATTATATAATTAATGTAAATTTAAACCATATACGTCCGGTGAAATATAGCGTTCATATAAAGTGTTTTGGTAGTTATGTTTCATTCTTGTTAAAATAGTACTGCAGTTAATAGTTTATTTGAATTTATTATATTCCCACTATATTATTAAATTTTATTGATAGAATTATGTTATTTTATATATTCTAACAATTTGTACATGTGTGTATTTTCTGTAGGAAAAGCTGAAATTTGGGAATTTAATCTACCATAAAATTGTTTAATAGAACGGGAGCACCAAACTCTTAATCAAGGTAATTTCTGCTCAAAAGTAGGATTAATAAGAAATATCAAATAAGCTTAACACAGTTTTACATTATCTCGCAGAGAGTATATATCGAGAGTTCCCAATGTAGATAGTTACAAATTTATTTGATATTATTATAATTTATGTATATTTCAAATAAATTTTGAAGACTGTTTTTATGAGTAAAGTAAGAAGTTACATAAATGAAATAAACAATAAAAATAATTTTGAGTTGCGTAAAGAATATTACTTCAGAATTAGCTAAGGTTCTTAAATTAGAAGTTATCTAGAGAGTCTAAGACGAACACCGAAAAAGCTACGAGAGGCAGAAAAAAATCATATATTTTTCACGATTGAACATTCAAGTTTCTAAAACTAACGATAACACTTGAATTTTACATTGAACATTGTGTTCAAATAAACGTTTGCACTTACATGGAATAACTAACGTTGAATCTTTGAGGTCTGGACTGTAATCTTGAGCGAAATAATCGATTCGTTTGCAGGCGTACTCGTCTTCACCAGCTGGAATTAAAGAAAATGTTAGCAGAAATGATTAACAGAAGCCCGGTAATTTAATATGTTTTTTTTAATACGGAACATAATAAATGAGCCCTTTTCAAGCAAGTATTATTTAGCAATTGACAGATAAACTTAACAGCAGGAAAATATGTGTTTTGAAATAGTGTTCACCTTGATGACAATCTTCCATACAAAAGCAACTGTTTTACTTGCCCAGCCTTGAAAATTCGAGTGGTCCCAGAGCGATGATAATTTTCCAAGATCTTTAATCGGGCTTCAATTTATTGCCTTTTAAAAGCTAAACAATATTCATTGATCATCAAGTTTACATTGGACATATCTTAGATATTATATTTCAAACCGCTATGAAATTTGAAGAAACTCTATAGGAGTTTGGGCCATTAAAATATTTTTGGTATCCAGAAATTTGTGATCAAGATTCCCTACGTGATCTAGTGGTAATGGGGACCGCGCCCACTCACTCCATCACGGTGGAAAGAAGAAAACACTGTCAACTTTTCAAAGCCGTTCGCATCTTTTCGGGCACACACGTACGTGATTCCGGTTTTATTTTTCTTCTCGCATTTCCACATCCGGAGCCCCGTTGACATGCTAAACAAATAACGTCCATATTTCAGATCCTTTCATTTAAGGCCGGGAAATGACGCAAGAGCTTGATTATAGAGCCGCTATTGCGGATTTGTTTTGAGCCTGTCAAATTGAGTTGCCTCGATTTTAATAGAGAGCTTGGTATATGTTCCATTGGAAATGACGAATTGTTTATTTACGTAATTTATAACATGCATTCAGGAATTGAAGAATTAAATTTTATCATATTTCAGGGGTGTTGAATTTTATTTAATTTTTTCATTAATTAAAGGGGTTTTGGAATGGGTGGTGAAGAGTTTTTACGTTTTTTTGAAATCCACTACTTTCATATTCACATTCTTCACCTCCTCACTTTCAGTCGCATTATTTCTATCTGCTGTTGCGTCTATTTCAATTTCATCTGCAATCATTCCATTGTCATGTGCTAAACTCAAGGCAACATTCCTTCGGATCCGTCCCAGAGTTTAGAATGTGCAACTATTTTACAACTAACACAGCAACTTATTTCAATTATTTAGATATACTTAGGTAATCTGGTTGAAAACCCAATTCGAAGGGGATTTTGTTGTTTTCACTATGAGTTTTCGTACCAATACGTGGTGAAGTAATGAGGATTTAGACCCCTTCTGGCCCCCATTGCAAAACTAGTAGAAACCATAACGGGCCACGAAGCCCGCAAATAGACAATTAGAAGGAAATTGCGCGCCAGCATGCACCCTCGTAAACCAAACATTAATAGTAGTTATAAATATCCTTAGGGGACACCTCGGCCATTTTACAAGTCCAGAAAATGTCTATTGTCCTAAGTTAACTGAGCTTAGTTAGGAAATTGAAAACTGTCCATTTAATTGGCCAACGAAATTGACTTCTACTTTCCTTAAAGTTCGAACCTTGACATTCACTTCATAGGTTCTTGAACAGCTGTACTTTTACAATATCTAAAATATCTACGTTCTGAAAAACATGTAATGCTAGGAGGCGTGGCTGCACCCTGACCAAGTCTTCGACGTGGTTGAACAAAATTTTCGGATAAAGTGCCATATTCTCAAAGAATTTGGAAATCGTCTGCACTTCATTTTTCAATTTTTCAACTAATTTGGCTCAGGTTTCATCAACATAAACTTTATGATTTGCACTTTATTCGACTTCCGACAAATTGTCGTCAATCTAACGCCTCCGGTCCGGAATTAAATTTTCAGTGGTTGATTCCATCTTGTTCCCTGTTTTTCATAAGCAAGTTCATAGGGTTAGCTGCATTCTACTCATATATTCGTCGAGAACGGAAATTTATTTTCCACATAAAGCGCAATTCTGCTTTCGTGTTACCGATACAACGAGGAGAATGAGTCTTGTGGGAAATCAACGTTTTATTTTCCTTCTACTAATAGCTCTTGAATAATGCGTACCATGGATAACAATGCCTTTAAAATTCCACGGTAAAATATTTTTTATTGAGAAAATCTCCTTTCCGATACCATAATTAATCTTAATGCACGAATATAATATGGTGCTTGAAGCCAGAGTTCATTAGACTTAAAATAATGCACACGATCATCACAAATACGTATGTGTAGTGTACGTATAGCAACTCTCTAATAGAAAAGTAGGCAAATGCAGATTTTTGTTTGTACCAGGGCAGCAGCATGTTGGAAGAGGTAGCGAGCGAATAACAGGAGAAGATTCGTTTTCAGCGTTAGCGTTCCCTTATTATGAAAGTGGGTGTAGCAAGTCTCTAATAGAAAAGTTCTGATGGCAAATGCAGATTTTCGTTTGTACCAGGGCAGCAGCATGTTGGAAGAGGTAGCAAGCGAATAGCAGGAGAAGATGTTTTCAGCGTTAGCGTTCCCGTATTTTAAAAGTGGGTGTAGCAAGTCTCTAATAGAAAAGTTCTGATGGCAAATGAAGATTTTAGTTTATACCAGGGCAGCAGCATGTTGAAGGAGGTAGCAAACGAATATCAGTAGAAGATCCGTTTTCAGCGTTAGCGTTCCCTTATTTTGAAAGTGGGTGTAGCAAGTCTCTAATAGAAAAGTTCTGATGGCAAATGCAGATGTTCGTTTGTAGCAGGGCAGCAGCATGTTGGAAGAGGTGGAGA